GTTTCTCTCGTTTTTGATGCATTTTTGATAAGTTGGGTTCGCATTTTTTGCTTTTTGTACATTTACAAAACATTATCACATTTATTTTTATAACCATGGGTCCGAAGAAGATGATGCGTATTGAATTAAAGCGTGAAATCATAGAAAAACATGAGCAAGGTGTGCGAGTAATTGACTTGGCGAGGATGCACGGGCGTAGCATATCAATGATATGCACTGTGCTTAAACAGAAGAAGTTGATAAAGGGTATAATGACAGCTAAGGGCATTACAATAATTTCTAAGCTCCGGAACTCTCTCCATGAAAGAAGGAGAAAATTCTGATGACAGAGAAGCAGCTTCAAGGAGGAATCTTAACACAAAGCATCATATGTGAGAAGGCACGAGCAATTTACGGTGAAGCAGATCCCACACACTTCCACAAACGAGGAATCGAAAGACTCAACTACAGGCAGTCGGGGCTGGCTTCACAACTTTAGGAAAAGGACCAGCATTCACTCTGTCGTCAGGCAGCAAGTTTGGATGTGAAGGCAGCTGAGGTTTACATCAAAACGTTTTCCGAACTGATAAAATCCAATGGATACATCCCCCAGCAAGTCTTCAACTGTGATGAGACAGGGCTTTTCTGGAAAAGGATGCCGAATAGGACTTACATAACGGCAGAGGAGAAGATGATGCCAAGTCACAAACCCATGAAGGATAGATTAACTCTAGCACTTTGTGCCAATGCGAGTGGCGACTGCAAAATCAAGCCTCTACTAGTATACCATTCGGAAAATCCCAGGAGCCTTTAAGTCTCATAAGATTTTAAAAGAATAACCGCCAATTATGTGGAGGGTAAATTCGAAGGCGTGCGTCACTAGGAAATTCTTTGTGGAGTGGATAAACCTGGTGTTTGGCCCTTCTGTTTAAAAAAATATCTACAGGAAATTAACCTGCCCATGCAAGCCCTTCTTGTCCTGGACAATGCCCCTGCTCACCCACCAAATCTCAAAGATGATTTACTCGAAGAGTTCAAGTTTATAAAGGTTCTCTACCTACCACCCAACACCACTCCTATCCTGTAGCACATGGATCAGCAGGTGATTTCTAATTTTAAGAAGTTGTACACCAAGCACATTTTTCGGCGCTGCTTTGAGGTGACGGAGAACACAAACCTTACCCTTCGAGAGTTCTGGAAGGACCATTTTAACATCCTGATATGCCTAATAATTATTGATCATTCCTGGCTGGGTGTTACAACGAGGACCTTAACCTCTGCATGGAAGAAGCTGTGGCCTGAGGCTGTAGCTGAAAGAGCCTTCGAAGGATTGGAGCCCCAAGTGTCAGTGGTAGAGGAGATTGTTTCTCTGGGAAAAACCATGGGTCTGTAGGTGGATGAGAGAGATGTGAAGGAACTCGTCGAGGAACAGTCTCAGGAGCTGACAACCGAGGAGTTGCATGATCTACATTCGCAGCAGCATATGGTGGTTCAACGAAAAATTAGTTTTGAAGAGCAGCCAGAGAGGGAGCAGGTTATCCCTACAAGAGATATAAAGGAGATCTTAGGAAAGTGGGAGAAAGTTGTAGAGTTCGTGGATAAAAATCACCCCGAAAAAGTTACAACTGGTCGTGCATCGGAGTTGTTCAATGAAACTTGCTTAACTCATTTCTGCAATAGCCTGAAAGGAAGGAAGAAACAAACCGCCTTGGACAGTTTCTTTAAACGATGTTCAGGTGAAAATGAGCAAAGCGTGATGAAAAAAGCGAAGACCAATGACGAAAATTAAGCACTTCACTTTTTATTTTAATTATGTTTTTATAGAATATGTATTTGTTATTTATAAATAAATGCTTCCTCTTGTAAATACATTTTCTTATTCAAAAACACTTAACAAAAACAACTGAAGTGGTGTTTTGGGAGCTAAAACGGATTAATGGCATTTCAATTAATTTCAATGGGAAAATTGCTTTGAGGTACGAGCAATTTGACATACGAGCAAGGTTACGGAACGAATTAAACTCTTATGTCGAGGTACCACTGTATTAATTTTTTTAATAAAAATTTAAGTATACAACTATAAAGTAAAAGAAAAATATGTATTTACATTTTTGTGAGTATTTAACCTGTCGAATATTGATAAGTACCACAAAAAAATCGGAATCATAATTTTGATATCAACGAAAAGAATTTGGGCTAAATCGAAGAATAGGCTGCATCAGTCGATGTTGCGTTTACTTTTCTTATGCTTGGACATGCCTTTTTATGATGTAATATTGGTTACGCCTCTTCTTAAAAACAAGTTTGCGGTACTACTTTGGTAGACAGTTGCATGGATTTTGGCGATTTTTCTTTTGGCGAGTAATATGACTTATAGTAAACCCATTGCTGGACAAGTTATTTAAGATAACCAATACTTTGTTGTCATTTTATTTAGAAAATAATAATGCATTTTATTATGCACAAATTCTGTGTTTTAAATATTATTTATGGCTTCTAAATATTAAAATCAATTTAATTTTGCATTTTTATTTGAAATAAAAATTTTATTGTTTATGATATTTTATGAAATTTTATGTTGGGGATGATGTAATCAATGATGTCACCTTACTTTAAAAGTAATTGGTTTTAATATCTATAAATTTGAACTAATGTTTTAAACATTATTTATGGCTGTTAAATATTAAAATACAATTTAAGTTTGAATTTTTAAAAAAAATGATTTTATTATGTATGATTATTTAAATAATTTTAATTCTAGGCGTGATGTAATCAGCTCTCTGATTGATTACAGAATATATGTGCATTACCGCACCATTTTAAAATTTAATTCATATCTTCGAATTCCTTCAAAGATGTTTCTTTCAAAGATGAGGCCCACCAGCCGCTGAGCGGTAACGTCGCTGAACACTGGTAGTTCGGTCCGAGGTTCGAATTCCGCGAATGGGCTGGCTGCATGGGCGTTTTCATGGTTTTCCCCATGTGTAATGTGTATATGAGGAACTTTCCCTTACAAAATCCTCCACAAAGGCATCCCTCCCTTAAGGCAGATAGCCCTCGAGTGCTTTGTCGTTATCTAATAAAACCAAACCAAACCTTTCAAAGATGAATGTTGTTATTGGTTAGTACCAAGAATTATTGTTATTGGAATCAAAAAATTGTCCTTTGAGACCTTATTGTGGCCAGCCTAGCTTTCGTAATCAAAGATTTATTTAGAAATTGTTACAAGGGTCAGAGGAAATTTATTTTAAATTTTTGGAAGAAACCTCGCCAATTGTTTCTTCAATGAAGTGCGAGAAATGTGGATCACAGATGAAGATGGTTAAAAGAGCCGATTATGAGGACGGCCATATATGATATTGTGGTCATGGTGGAAGAAATAACTGCTGTAACAATTAAAAAAGTATTAAACATTCCTCCCTTTTTACCAGCAGTAAACTTCCAATTGCTGTCATTTTAGCTCTAGTGTATGAAATATTCATGGGTTTTTCGTACGATAGAACTCAATGTGAGCTTGGTATTTTTCCAGAATGGTGCAGTTATGTAATCGACGTGTTAGTTAATTTTGTGGAAACTAAAACGGAGAAGATCGGAGGGCCAGGAAAAATTGTGGAGATTGACGAGTCCAAAATTGAGAAAAGAAAGTTTAACAAGTGTCAATTCGTTGAAGGGTAGTGGGTTTTGGGGGGAAATAGAACGCGATTCAGGTCGCTGCTTTTTAGTTGCTGTGCCAGAGAGAACAGTGGATTCTCTTCTCGCTTTAATTAAGGATTGGATCGAACTGGGAACCCAGATTATTTCAGACTGCTGGAGAGCTTATGACCGTTTGAGCAAAGAAGGTTTCAATCACTTGCAAGTTAACCATTCGCTCCATTCTGTCGATCATGAAACCGGAGATCATACTAATACAGTTGAAAGACAATGGACAGTTGAGTTGAAAGACTTCAAAAACTCTTTGCGATTTACAATTGGAGATCTTGAAGGATACATAGCCTGGTATTTGTTTAGGAAAATTTGCTCTGCATTGAATGAGCATCCATATGTTAAATTTTTCAAAATTATTTGAGACTTAAACTGGGATGATTGGCTTGTACTTCAGGAAGGGGCGGTTAAAGGTCTTAAAAACAATACCTATAATTCCATTAATTTGGCTCAAAATTGCCTTATCTATTTATTAATTTTTTTTTAATTTTTTTATTCTGCCCTTCATATTACATTTTTCAAATTTTTTTCATTGATATCTAAATTATGATTCTGATTTTTTTGTGGTACTTATCAATAAACGACAGGTTAAATGACTCAAAAAAATGTAAGTACATATTTTTCTTTTAATTTGTAATTGTATACTTCAATTTTTGTTAAAAAATTACTACACTATTTTAAAAAATTGATGAGATAATTATTGTTACATATGTTTCAATGTTAATTATATCCTATAAAACATATTTTAATTATTTAAACGTATTTATATTTTTTTTTTATAAAATACCTGATGAAACATTATACACAAGATAAATGTGGAGCATTTTATAGTATTACACAAATTGAAATTTAACAACGCTTTTTTTCTTTTCCTTTGTGGGGTGGGGGGTGGGGGAGAATAATAAAATTATGTTCACTGAAACCTGGTTTAACTGATAGTGAAGAAAAATAACAGGCCCATTAAAATAAAAAAGTCATCTACCTTAAAAATAACCAAATAAAAATCAACTTTTTTAATTACCTCATTATATATAGGTAACTATGTATTTTATAATATAAAAGTGATCTCAGGATATTGTATGTAAAAATAGTAGACAGTGAAGAACCAAGGAGATGAATTTTAACTTCCTACACTTTTCAATGAATCTTCGACATAAACTGTCAATTTAAAAATACACTTGTTATGCTAAAAAGTGTCTGTGAATCCCTCCTTAAAAACAACAACATTTTCTTGCCTATATTTAAATAAAAATCATTCACTCTTTTTGAATTTACTTACATAATTTTATAAGATATATAAATGAAATATTAAACTTTACCTGAAACTCTTTGCAATGCAGATGCAGTTTCATATGTGTCAGTATTCGTTAATGGGAGGTTAGATGAACTCTGATAAGTGTCATTTAAATGTTCTTCTTCTTTCAACTTACTAGAAAGACTGTTTTTTAAAAAGCTACTTCGAGCACGAGTGACAGACTCAGATAAAGGTGAAAGTTTTGTTGATATTTCATTATGAACAACAGGACTAAGGCGACGTGGTGATGGACTTCGTGATTTGGCACCGGTATTTTCAGAAGATATTTCGGTTTCAGGTGTATCAAAACTGTCCATATTCTCATCGGGCAAACAAACAGAACATTCATAAAGCCCAGGAGTGTCACTTTCGACATATGCTCCAGGATTTAATAGAGACTTGCATTTGCTACATCTGAAGCATGTAGTATGGTACAATTTTCCATCAACTATTAGTCGTTCAAGAATAAAAACACGATGTTTGCAAACTTGACATACTTCATGCCTTTTCAAACCTAACTCCTTGGATTCCATTACAGGCACCTATATAGAGATCATAATTAATTTAATAATTTAATACAACATTAAAAAAATTAGTAATTAAAGCTCAACAATAATGAAAGAGATTAAATACTTTACATACCAAAAACATTTATAATGCTCTACTAGAAATTGAAATAAAAAAGTTGCAGATCAAGTATGTCTGGTAAACTATGTATATTTAAAAAAATGCAGGAAAACAAAAATTCAAAATTTGTTAAATTTCTTTTCATTCTTTTATTATAATATTAATAAATCCTTTTCAGAAGTTACACAACAGATTTTAACACAAATCCAGCAAGACAAGAAACTGTTTTACGGCTATGAAAAATTACTGCTACAAAAGCTGACTCATTCACTCTTTTACTATTAAGTACCATCAAACAAATTTCATTAGTGCATTACAATGAAAAGAGATACCCTAGCTGGTAAAGTGGTTAGTGAAGCCTGCTGCCATATCAATCAGCCCAAAATCCATTGAGCCAAAACATTCCTTGAGAAATTTGTAGTAACAGTTGAGCAGTAAAAGACCACTGGATATCACCCTCCAGAGTGCACCTGACCAAATTTAGGTTGAAGCAAGGTAATATTGCCCTGTCACCATTTAAGTATCCAAGGATTGGATCAACAACAGTACCCTCTAACCCTAGCTACAAGTATTATGAGTTTGCTACGGTGGATACCTCCTCGGCAAGGCAATGCAGATCATGAATGACAACATTAACCCGGGAGCGCGCACACTCTTTTGAGTTACACGAGCGCGCGCTCTGGGTCCAAAAGACTCGGCTCGTGTTTTTTGGTGAAAAAAACTGTTACTCTTCAGGTAAAAGTGTTACATTTATACCAAAATATTATGATCAAACTTTAAAAGTAAGCAAATTATGAAAATTAAAATTTTAATTTTAATTTCTATAATATTTTTTATGAAATAAAATTTTTAAAGGAATAGAAAAATGAATTATATTAATAAAGAATTTATTAGGAATTCATTATATTATTATTCAGCCTATTAGAAATTATTATTCAGGTTTATTAGGAATATACTGCCTGAAAAAACATCTTCCTCGGAAAGCTTCACATTTTTCATCAATTGTTATGAGCTCACCGACAGTGTAATATTTGTGGCCGACTGACAGCGTAATATTCTAATATAGTTATTCACAAACTCTTCAAAAAAACTCTCTTATAGGTGCAAGTTCTGATTCTTTCTTGACGGCGTGAATTCCTATATCATCAAAACACAAACATCTTAATAAAAAAAGAAAATGTTTGTAGGACATAGTTTTGTAGAAACTTTCTAAACTGGTTCCGTTTGTTACCCATAGATCCCGCACGTTTACATGAGATGACTTATGTCACAAAAATATAAAAGACCTATAAAAGCACAAATTTCAATTAAAGTTATGTGATGAGCATCTTTCTCTCTTTGAAAGCTGGCAGAAATAGATGCAATATAAATATTTGTATGTCTGACGATTTTCAGCAACATTTGTTCACTTAGTAAAAGTTTCTGCACATACTTTGTCTTACCGATGTTTCCAGGCAATTTAGTAATAATATTCTGAGTAGGAATTCTAACATCAGCTTTAGGCTTTTCTTTTGAACATTTTTTTTCTGTCTTTTCCAATAAAGCAATAAATATCTTCTCATTTTCATTTTCAGAATGCATCTCGATTTTTGAATCAGTATAATGAGAACTAAAAAATTACTTTATAACCTTCATTATCAGTTTCTTCAATAGAGTCTTCAACAGTTCATACATGTAATATTTTTTTGCAAACGTAACATTTCTTCCTTATAGGATAAATTATGTGACATATTTGCAGCTTTCTGTGCTACCACAAATGAATTACATTACAGAATGCAAATAGGCGCCTTGGATCTGAAAGACCCGATCCTGTCAAAACAAAACTTCGAATTAAATTTCTGGCGAAAAGCTTCGGAAACATGAAGACAATGGCCTTGGAGGAGACTACACTGAATCACAACTGCTTGGGAAAAATAGGAACGTTTTTGGAAACGTTTCTTTAATCGGCCAGGTCCAGCGCGCGCTCTCGCGGGTTAATGGAAAAAATCCAACATTAGAATATTCATTTTAATTTAATCCTTTTTAAAATAAAGTTTTATTATTCTCTGATGATTAAATACTCAAACAGGTACATATATAAAATGTAGAGTCATTAGGTTATTTCGAAGCAGGAAGATGTGAAAAATGTGCAATGCCCTCTCTGGGACTTGAACCTGGAACTGTCAGTTGTGCTACCATTACACCACGAAGGCATGCTGGAAGGAGAGAAAAAATATCTTATACAGTAACAGTCAACAAGCTATAGGGAAGTAAATATTCCACTGAAGCATTGTTTAATGAACAGTTTGGTCATGCGATATCTCTAACGTAATAATAAAGCTGTAATAATTAATAGCTGAAAAGACTAAATAAAAGCAAGCTTTAAACATATTAACAGGTTTTTTTTTTTTTTTTTTTAAATGTGGCTTACATTTCAGTGTCAGAATAACTGGTACTAGGCACTTAACTCTTAAAGTGTAAGGAGTCAATGATCACCTTGACTATGACCTTCTAAAGGAAGAAAAACATAGCTTTCTCAAAGCAAAGATAGTTTATTTTCCAATCAAATTATTACTTGTAATACACTTTTAAGTGTCACAGTCTTCAACCTGTTTTACAGCAAACATCAATTTAAACTATTACACATACAAAACATTCCACAGCTATTATAAAAAAATAATGAAGCATAATCAATTATTATTATTTTTTTTATTTTTTATTTTATTTTATTTATTTATTTATTATTTATTTATTTATTTTTTGTGAACAGAACCAAAAAAGTATTCTGAATAAATACAATTTATAAAATAATTTAAATAACAGAGGATAACAGATATATTTTACAAACCAAAGAAAAATATAAATAGAAAATTAAATATTCAACACTGAACACAAATGTTTCAACTTCAAAAATGAAGACAATAATTATGGATATGAAAATAATCATTAATTTTTAATTATTGCAATAATATTCTTATGTTGATATGTTTACAGCATCAGTGGATGCTTTATTCGCTTTATGAAACTGACTTGGACAAAATGTATTTCAACTCAATGATTAAATTAGTTCTGTTAGAATTAAAATTATTTTCATTTAGGAAATATTCATGAACTGTCACTGTTACAGAAAAGAAAAAAAAATAACTCTTACATAACTTTGACATTTAGATATTTTACATCATCTAAGCTTCTACATACGCTAGACAGCATTTTGGTAGACATATTAGTATAGTACGATAAATTCTATATGAAATGGAATACCAATACCAATTATATAATTCAAATAATATACGAATTCAACAAGAAAATAAAACTGAACTTTTGAATTGTACCTGAAGGTATTAAATAAAATGGGGTAAGGGGCAGAGAGCTTTGTTATTACTTAAAAATTTTAACTTTAATGGAAAGGATGAATCAATCAATATTTATACACCTCTCCTGTGTCATTGAAGTCACAACTGAGGGAACTGTCTCCCATCTGAGACACCCCCATATAAGGCAGGGGAAAGTCCAGCAGGAAGGCCACAAAATGAATTCTACTCAGTAGGCTGGAGTCATGGGTGCACAACTTCCAAAACTTAGCCTCAGCCCAAGATGACAAATTCCACTTAGGAGTTTGAACACATTCACTTAAGTCTGGAGAGCCACAGACGATATTACTCCAAAAACCTCTGTGTATTCGGATGGGCCGAGGGGTCACCACTCCCTGTTCTCGGCTTTTCGACGGAGGCGTGACCTGAAAACCTGATGGACTCACTGGTCGTTTAAATGCTTAAGCGGGCAGCGCGTCCCATCAGGACGTTACCTAGCAAACTCGATGCCATCCCACACCAAGCTACAGAACCATCTGGTATATGTCTTACACCTCCCCCCCCCGAGGTTCGGCCATATAAACAACCCAATCCCGGGCTCTGGAACCGCCAGGTTCGTGATTTTATACCCCCGTGGCCGAGACTGCCTAGGTACACATCCTAGCCAGTAGCTTCACAGAGTTCTCTACATTAACCCCTGGGGTGGGTAATGGAAAGAACTTCATTAGTACTTGAAAATAATAGCATTCCAAAAAAAGTGCTTTCAAAGATTTTGCAAGATAAAATTATTTATAGTCTGGCAATTTATTCAAATCAGGAAAAAGGATCAATAACTCATACCATAATAAGCTAAAGATATTGCACAGCTAGCTTTTATAAAATAAATATTCTAGTTATATTGGTATATTTGATTACAGTAAAGCTCATGAGAGCTATGTGCCTAAGGAAAAGGATGCCTTTGTGCAGAACTTTCTGAGGAAAACTGGCTTGTATACACATTACACATGGGAAAAAACACAAAAACAATTATACAGCCAGCCTGTTTGCCGGGATTTGGACCCTGGATCGAGCTACCAGTGTTCAGTGATTTTACTGCTTGGCTGCTGGTAGGCCCAAAAGCTACTGGAGATTAGGCATAGTAAAACTTTCACCGTAAAGAAAAGGGCCAGCTACAAATGCAATCATAATTGTTTTTTAAAAAACTATTTATTCTCAAAATGAGTTATTTTATTTTTTAACTGTTGTATAAATTTTTCATCCATTTGTAAATTCAAGTCAATAGTAAGCACAAAAAAATAACATATATATGTCAGTAAATCTTTGTGTACGAATATTGGAACTTTATTCTGCATAGAACATGCAAAATATTGGACTTTTCGTTTTCGAAATCTTTCTCACCTTTGGGGTTGAGACTAATTTCATAAACTGTTAGACCTGATTAAAAAAATTGTAATTGAAAATTTAATTAGAGTAAATAATTCACAGAAACAAAACAAGTTGCCAACTTTCTTATACTGTGAATCTTTGACTAAACTGAGAACAGGCATGATAAGAATAATCAAAATATCTACAAGCAATCAGTAACATATTGGTGGAATGAACAATCTCATAGTCACCACCTCTGAAAGTAGCCGGGTATATTTGAGAACCTAAACAAATATGAGTACTGAAGACCATTTCTTTCCACAAAAGACCAAAACTGTCTGGAACCATGTGTCATCTTTGAGATGGTTTGCTGCACTTTGTAAAGCTTAGATGTTATAAAACTCCTTATTTTACACACATTTCTCATAATTAAAGGATAATGATAAAAATATGCAAATTTGTATTATACAATTATTCACATTATGCAAATTATAGTATTGGGCGTTAAGCAATGATGAATGCTATAATTATTTATTTAAATAAAATTGAACACACAATTGCACTTCTGCACATATGTTAACACAAGAAATATGCAAATTCGGTGATTGACAATGTGGTGCACAATGGACACATGTTGGAATTCCAGTCTGTAGTGTTGTTTAAAATAAATCTGGTTTCTGAAAGAGATCCAGTATTCAGAAATTATAGCTCAAAGGCATCATTTAAGTGTTAGTCAAAAGTGGTGAATAATTGGTAGAATTGAGGGAGGTAAAACACAAACAGAGGTCACCCAAGATTTTTTAATATTCCTCAAAGTGTCATATCAAGAGTTTGGACTCACTTTTTAAACACTGGACCAGTTGACAGATAGCCTGGTCAAGGACGATCAAGAGCAACAACTGCATCAGAAAACAGTTTTCAGATGTTGTCGGCTTAAAGAAACTATGAAGTGACTATAAAAGATTTGGTTTTAGACCCTCAGGCTAACTCAAATTAGTCATTCTACTGCTGCATGAAGGCTTAATGAGGTTGGACTTTATGCGAGAACCCAATGGCCCCTTTAAACTGGTGCTTTCTTCATGTTCAATGGAGCGAAGGTGACTGGGCCCGAGTACTGTTTATTGATGAGTCCAGATACAGTATGAAAAGTGATTCTAGATGTGTTTTGATCTGGACAGAGGAAGGAACATACAACTTACCTTCTCTTGTCCATGAAATACCTTATTTCCAAGAACGTGGTTGACTGGTTTGGGAGGAATCATGACAAATGGCTACAACAAGCTGCATATCTTTCAGGAAAGTTCTGTAACTGCTCAGAGATACGTGGATGAGGTACTAGAAACCCAAGTTAAACTGTTTAGAGGTGCTGCTGGGCCAGAGTATTTGCTAATGGATGACAACACTCGGCCTCATCGAGCACATGTGGTGTCAGAATACTTCCAAACAGAAGATATCACTCGAATGCACTGGCCACCTTACTCACTCAACTCGAGTCTGGTTGAGAACATAAGAGATGCCTTATGGTTCCAAACTTCAGTCCGCCAAATTTCTCCCTGGACCCTCCAGAAGCTAAAAAGTACACTTTTAGAAGAGTGGCCTGCAATTCCACAAGACTTATTCAACACTTTGGTAAAAAGTCTATGAAATCAAGATGTGTGGTATGCATATCTGTCCAAGATGACCACATACCATATTAAAGAGGAAATTTTTTCCTCAAGAGGTGACCTTAATTTTCCATCAATTTTCAATTTCCATAAATTTGATTTTAATTTCAATATTCTGTGAATAGTCATCTGTCAAACATTGTAATTTATGTTAACTATTGCTTTTGTGCAGTTTTCTATTGATAATTTTTCATTCAGTTACATTTTATTTTTGTCATTACCCTTTAATTTTGATGACCAGTGTATATTAAAGCAAAATTAAAATTACCCTTTAAAATTTTTAAATTTATAAAGATGTAAAGTCCAGAATAAAAATGGAATTCCTATTGAAGCATATATAAAGGAGTACTTGAGGTAATTTTAAAGTATCATGTTTATAATATATCAGCTTTATGATGAAATCTCATGTAAAATACGCAGAATGTACCAAGGGCATATAGAAAATTTAAGAACTGAATTTTTTCCAACCAATTATAATAAAACTGACAAATGGTTTTAACTAATTACAATAAAACTGAAATATGATGTTAATAACTTGATTATTATCATACTTCAACTTTATTTAAAATACTCTTTGCCTATATAAAGAAATTAAAATGAAATAATTTGTATAATTTTATGTAACTAGTACATGATAACTAAAAGACTTGGAAAACAGAAAACAATAAAAGCTATTTCTGTACAACACCAACTATCATCAAAGTTTTATAAAGAATAGTAACTGACTCATTCCTTTCCCCCCTGATTTAACATTTTTTATTTTCTTTTGCCCGACGTGAAAGACCATTCCAAATGTAACGAACGAATTCAAAAGTTTTAATTTTGAATTTTTAATTTCAAATGAATTTTTAATTTCTAAAGCTTCAGCTGCTATTGAACAAATTTAAATTTTGAAAACAACGAAAGAGGAGTAAAAATAAACGATTTCCTTAAAAAAAAATTTTTAATGAAATTAATCACATTAAATTAGTTTTATTTACATAATTATTTATATAATCTTCCTGAGAAGTTATATGCTTTTGACCCTAATGCAATTTTTGTAAGTAAAAGAACCTCCTTAGGGGCCATATCTAATGAGTTGAACTCCTTTCCCACATAGTTAAAATATTTCATATATGCATTTATTTTAATGGTGAAAAGTGAAAACTGGTAAATCTAGGAAATTATATAAAATTCTCTAATCACTGTTTTCTACAGAAGCATTCACAAGAGAAATTGACAAGAAATTTTTAATATTAGAGAAAACATATGTAGAAGGCTAAAGAGTAATAATCTTTTTATTGAAATCTAATTCTTACCCTCCCATAACAAGAATGAAATCAAAACATTTAACAGATGTCAAAATTCTTATTTCAATAATTTTTTAATCCTTCAAGTTAAATAATTATGTACATGATCAATTAGTAATAAATATAGATTATAAAATCAATCTAGGAATTTTACCTTTATAGGAGTTCCCAATGAATTGATATTACTGCCTATTCTCTTGATGCCTGTTTTCATACCTTTCACTGTTAATAATAAAAGTTATTATTAAATTTGTTATTTCATTCATACGTAGTCTTCATTCTTCAAATTAATGAAAGAAGAAACTGGTTGCAATCTTTCAATGATTAACTTAAAAATGCTTACTAATGCTTAGGAAACTACCATGGATATTACACACTTAAAGACACACACACACAAATAAAAAAAGAAAGAAAGAAAGAACGAAAAGAAAAAAGAAAGAAAATCTATAATTAGTAAATTCTTCTTCCAGGATATTCAAAAAACAAGGTATCTACAAAAAAGCCAGGCCATCAAGATATTTTACAATAAATAAATAAACTAAAAATATACAATTAAAAGACTATCCCCAAAAAGAGAGTATTAATGGCAACCCTACCGTGTACATTTTTAATTTCAAAAGCTTCAGCTGCTATTGAACAAATTTAAATTTTGAAACAACGAAAGAGGAGTAAAATAAACGATTCCTTAAAAAAATTTTTTAATGAAATTATCACATTAAATTAGTTTTATTTACATAATTATTTATATAATCTTCTGAGAAGTATATGCTTTTGACCCTAATGCATTTTTGTAAGTAAAGAACCCCTTGGGCCTATCTAATGAGTTGAACCCTTTCCCACATAGTTAAATTTTCATATGCATTTATTTTAATGGTGAAAAGTGAAAACTGGTAAATCTAGGAAATTATATAAAATTCTAAGCATTTCATTAGTACTTTCATTATAACATGAATGAAGTAAAAATATGTAGGATATTTGGGATGTTTTCAACACAAAGAAGGGGACTTCTTAAAAAAAAATAGTATAAATTAAAGGCATAATAATTTTAGGCACAATTCTTATTTGAGGAATAATATTGTCAGTAAAAAATCATAGGACAGAGATACAAAAGGAAAAAAAAAATTGCAAGTGGATTTTTGCAATGCTATTGAACTGATGACATAAATAATTTATAACTCATATTTCATAAACATTATATCAATATTTTAACCTTTTAACTATCATGCCCGAGATTATCTCGGGCACAGCACTGTGTTCGAAATGTTACGCCCGAGTTTACTCGGGTAATTTTTTTTTTTTTTTTGAGTGCATCGTATTGTTATACCCGAATAATATCGGAGACGTTTATTTCGGCTTCATCTCTTTGTCAAACCCGACTGTATCTCGGGTAATTGCGCCGATCAATAGATGAACAGCACTTTACTGAAGATTTCAAGGTTAGAGATATAAGTTCTTTGGTGCATGGGATCTTTTGTGTTAAATGGCGTCCAGTTCTTTGAACGTTATATAGATGATTTAGATTCTTCACCCGGAGATGAAGGATGTGTGTTTGATGAGCAGATTCCTGATACTTCCATGGTCACCTACTAATAAAAAAATGGAGATATACTCAAGGCGAAATTGGTTTCTAATTGCCTAACTATGGGTGGTGCGATTAGAATATCCTTTCATCCAACCTCCGTTAAACGTCAAAAAATATTATAAAAAGATATCTTTACATTTACTAGACAGGTCTTTGGAGCCATATTTGCTCTATAAAAATGTAGTTGGGAACATATTACATTCTAGAATTTCGAATCCAGTTGTAGAAGAGCTTTTACATAAATATGATGATGCAGCTTTCTGGACAAAAGAATGTTGGCAGACCACCTACAATAGATAACACTGCCCGTCTACTGAACGACATTTCATATCCCATATTCCTCCTACTCCTGCGAAACGTGCGCCTACAAGACAGTCAAAGTGTGTTGTTTGAAAAATTATAAATGAGGAAAAGATAAGGAAGGATCACGATTGGTGTAGTGATTGTGG